TGTGTGTGTGTGTGTGTGTGTGTGTGTGTGTGTGTGTGTGTGTGTGTGTGTGTGTGTGTGTCTGTGTGTGTTTTGGTTTGGTCTTACAGTTCTTGGGCCTTCTCCACACCATCTGCCCTTCAGATCCAAAGGGCATTCAGGTTATCAAAGGGGATTCCTCAGCCTGGGCTCCAAAACGCCACTTCCTTCCTCTCCTAACTTTGACTTACTATGAAAGTAATATAATGGCAATGAGCATAATGAGGAAAGTCTCTGGATTAGAGGTTGGATAATGTGATTCACAGTCCTAGTTCTGTTTAAAAGAGGAAGTGACATCATTAGTAAACTATTCTCAGTGCCATCAAGCCGTTTCATCTCCCTGAGAGTTTGTAATTTATTTTGTTCTCCCTTTAACAACAGAGTGACATTAGTATGTATCTTCTGGGTCACTCTAAGAGTTGGGGGTGCATTTCTATAAAGATGGGGTGGTCCACAACCCTTTAGGGAACTTCTGATTTCAAACGAACAGAGCACTTCCAAGACTGCAGGAACACCCCCTCACCACCAAATCTTCAAAGAAGAGGGTCCGCAGTTTACTCACGGAATTGCTCTAGGTGGTCAGCGCTGTCAGACTCGGGCATGGCGGTGATGGTCACCAGCGGGCACGGATTCCCTCCTAGCGTCTGGCAGAGAACCTCCTGCCGGAAGTAAACCTGTTTGGGGTTGACACTTTTTTCCAGGATATCAAGGTGAGTCTGGAAGAAATGAGACAGAAGTATCTAGTATTAGTATTTTAGATAATAACAATACTAGAAAAGAGCCATGAAGCTTACATTCACGTAACTCCTTACAGTTAGGAAGTATTTTTGTTGACCTAATCTGCCCAATATTGGGCACTAGGTGATTAAAAAGGGGGCTACTCCGACTACCTAGGACAAGTTCGGTGAGGCAGGACAGGAAGCATCTTTCCCATCACTGTGGCATGTAAAGAATGTGGTTACCACGATGCTGGAGCATACCCAGGGCACTCGGGGACAAGGAACGGAGAGCTTCGGCAGTGCACGGTACCTTAAAACCGAGCAAGGTGAGGAGAGTTGTGAGCATATTGAAGGAGAATAGAAAACTGTGGATCCAGGGGGGGCAAGTCAAGTAAAAAGAACAACTAACTGGTAGCAATTGATTTTTCCTACCTTTTCTCCCCATTTAAAACACAGGAAGATATAACAATGGGATAATCACTGAATCTGGGACTCTTGGTCAACAATCTTTAAGACCTCTGCAGATATTTTCACTAACCCAAACCGTGAGATTCGTCATAAACAGGTTCAGAGATTTCCTCCCACCTGCCATCCATACCCTGATGACAGTGACACTGGGAAGTCAGTAAGAAGAGGAGCTGCCTCTGTCCAGCCCACGCACGTCAGTACCCAAAAATTATTCCTCTACCTGAAGATCTCAAGTTTTCACCACAATCAAGTAAGCTTGAACAGGGCCAAGGAGAAGCTGCCCACCTTGTTTCTTTAACAAATAAGAAACGTGCTCGATAAACGCAAAAACAAACAAATTCTATGTAAATGTTTACGAAATAGTCCTAAAATATGTTCTGGGGAGGCGAACAGTGCCCTCAAAAGGTAGAAGGAGTTAACACGTAAAAAGGATCCGCTTCAGAAGTGGCAGGCCCAAAGATGCCACGCCCTCATCGTCACAACCTGTAAGTATGTGACCTCAGGTGGCACAAGAGACTTTGCAGGTATGTTGAAGATTCCCGTTCACTTGAGATGGGAGATTATCCTGCATTATGCCATCAGGACCGACCTAATCAAAAGTGCTGAAAAGCAGAGAACGTCACCTAACTGTGGAGAACCAGAGAGAGATGACAGCATGAGATGGACTCGGGCTGCCATTGCTGGTTTTGAAGATGGAAGATGGGGGTCAAATGTCAATGAATGGGACCCAACACAATAATCCAGAATAATGCCCCCATCTCAAGATCCTTAACTTAGTCACATCTGCAAAGTCATAAAGATGCAACGTAACATCTTCACAGGTTCCAAGGATGAGGGCGTGAACATCTTCAGGGGACCATTATTCTGTCTATCACACCAGGGGACGCCACAAACTCAGGTCTATCTTAGAAACAGGTTGTTTTCTTGATATTTCCGGGAACCAGTGTTTGACACAATATTAAGTAAAGGAATTCTGAGGAGCATGTCTATCCCAGATTCAAGATGAAAAGTCAGCTAAGCCCATGTATTCAGTGAAACCTTTGTACTTCATTCTCAGGATTGTTCGAGTCGTGAGTGCCAGGTAGTGTTGAGGAGCAAGTTAGGTAAATTCTGTACTTAACCTCTATGTGACTCAATTTTCTCATCTCTAAAATGTATCTAAAAATAGCATTAGCTACTTCAGTCAGTGGCTACTATAATTTAGGCATATACCATATGTGAAAAGTCACAATGGAAACCCTCAATTTTAACTGTTATTATTAAGGGAGAAAAACAGGTTCAGATATGTTTTTAAGAAGTAAAAGGGAAGTATGGAGGTATCTCAAAAAACTGAAAATGGAACTACTGTATGACCCAGCAATTCCACTCTTGGGTATCTATCCAGAGAAACCCAAGACGCTAATTCGAAAAAATATATGCACCCCTATGTTTATTGCAGCGCTATTCACAATAGCCAAGACTTGGAAACAACCGAAATGCCCATC